TATATATATATATATATATATATTAGTACCAGTCAAAAGTTTGGACACACATTCATTTCAGTGTTTTTCTTTATTTTTACTATTTTCTACATTGTAGAATAATAGTGAAGACATCAAAACTATGAAATAACACATATGGAATCATGTAGTAACCAAAAAAGTGTTTAAAAAATATATTTGAGATTCATCAAAGTAGCCACCCTTTGCCTTGACGACAGCTTTGCACACTCTTGGCATTCTCTCAACCAACTTTATGAGGAATAATTTTCCAACAGTCTTGAAGGAGTTCCCACATATGCTGAGCACTTGTTGGCTGCTTTTCCTTCACTCTGCAGTCCAACTCATCCCAAACCATCTCAATTGGGTTGAGGTCGGGTGATTGTGGAGGCCAGGTCATCTGATGTAGCACTCCATCACTCTCCTTCTTGGTCAAATAGCCCTTACACAGCCTGGAGGTGTGTTTTGGGTCATTGTCCTGTTGAAAAACAAATGATAGTCCCAGGGACTGGGAGACTAATCTGAATCGAGGGAAAGATCAATGGAGCAAAGTACAGAGAGATCCTTGATGAAAACCTGCTCCAGAACGCTCAAGACCTCAGACTGGGGCGAAGGTCCACCTTCCAACAGGACCACGACCCTAAGCACACAGCCAGGACAATGCAGTAGTGGCTTCGGGACCAGTCTCTGAATGTCCTTGAGTGGCCCAGCAAGAGACCGGACTTGAACCTGATCGAACATCTCTGGAGAGACCTGAAAATAGCTGTGCAGTGACGCTCCCCATCCAACCTGACAGAGCTTGAGAGGATCTGCAGAGAAGAATGGGAGAAACTCCCCAAATACAGGTGAGCCAAGCTTGTAGCATCATACCCAAGACTCGAGGCTGTAATAGCTGCCAAAGGTGCTTCAACAAAGTACTGAGTAAAGGATCTGAATACCTATCTAAATGTGATATTTCCTTTTTTTGGCAAACATTTCTAAAAACCTGTTTTCATTTAGTCATTATGGGGTATTGTGTGTAGATTGAGGGGGGGGGGGGGGGGACTATTTAATCAATTTTAGAATAAGGCTGTAATGTAACAAAATGTGGGAAAAAGTCAAGGGGTCTAAATACTTTCTGAATGCACCATGTGATGATGTATAGACAGTATATGTAGTAAATCTTAAGAATACGTAGGATAGAATAGTATATGTACAGCAATAGTTAAATAGGATGGCCTTGACTAGAATGCAGTATATACATATGAAATGGGTACAACAGTATGTAAACATTAAAGTGACCAGTGTTCCATGTCTATGTTCATAGGGCAGCAACCTCTAAGGTGCAGGGTTGAGTAACCGGGTGGAAGCCGGTTAATGACAGTGACTGAGTTCAAGGCAGGTTACTGGGTGGAGGCTGCCTAGTGATGGCTATTTAACAGTCTGATGGCCTTGAGATAGCAGCAGTTTTTCAGTCTCGGTCCCAGCTTTGATGCACCTGTACGGACCTCGCCTTCTGGATGATAGCGGGGTGAACAGGCTGTGGCTCGGGTGGCTGAGCTTGTTGATCTTCTTGGTATTGTAGATGGGTGCTGTAGATGTCCTGGAGGGCATGCAGTGTGCCCCCCGGGAGGCGTTGGGCAGACCGCACCACCCTCTGGAGAGCCCTGCGGTTGTGGACGGTGCAGTTGCCATACCAGGCGGTGATACAGCCCGACAGGATGCTCTCAATGGTGCATCTGTAAAGGTTTGTGAGGGTCTTAGGGGCCAAACCGAATTTCTTCAGCCTCCTGAGGTTGAAGAGGCACGGTTGCGCGTTCTTCACCAGTCTCTGTGGGCGGACCATTTCAGATTGTCAGTGATGTGTACGCCGAGGAACTTGGAAGCTTTCACCTTTTCCATGGCGGCCTCGTCGATGTGGGCGTGTTCCGTCTGCTGGCCATGATCAGCTCCTTCGTTTTGTAGAAGTTATTTTCCTGGCATCACACCACCAGAGCCCTCACCTCCTCCCTGTAGGCTGTCTCGTCGTTGTTGCTAATCAGGCCTACTACTGTTGTGTCATCTGCAAACTTGATGATAAAGTTGGAGGCGTGCATGGCCACGCAGTCATGGGTGAACAGGAAGTACAGGAGGGGGCTGAGCAGGCACCCTTGTGGGGCCCGATCGGCATAGTGGAGTTGTTGCCTACCTTCACCATCTGGGCCCCTGAGCTTAATGATGAGCTTGGAGGGTACTATGGCGCTGAAGGCCGAGGTGTAGCCAATTTATAAAAAAAATTGTATAGGTATTCCTCGTCCAGATGGATCTATTGGGGCAGTATGCAAATTGCAGTGGGTCTAGGGTGACGTGATCCTTAACTAGCCTCTCAAAGCACTTCATGATGACAGGAGTGCTAGTTACCTTCACTTTCTTGCTGTGGATATCAATATTCTGAGTATGTGCAATTATCAATATAACCATGGCTAACTGTTTCAAATGAATACAGGATGCTGTACTAAATGTAGGAAATGGTTTGGAATAATGAGTGCATTCAGGAAAAGACAAACACAAAGTAGGGGGGAAAGGGAAGGGATTTTATTTGTTGGGGTTACTTTTTGTTTAGACCAATTAAAGCAGTGCTTTTGAGTTCTTTTTTTAAAAGTCAAATTCAATCAAGTCTGGACATGTGGCATAATTTCATATTCATTGGTGACAGTAAACACATGGGACAAATTTAAATCCAATTTGTTTTGAAAGCCTTGAGACTTCTACATGTATGAATCATTAGCAAAAACCAACAGGACACATTTCTGTAAACAAAACAACTCAAAGAATATCAAAATAAAAGCAGATAAACAGTTTCACAATAACATAGGGCCAAATTCAATTATTTTCTGGCGGAAGAACAGCAGATAATTGAAGGTGGTTTTAAGATATACATTTTTGGTCAAACATTACCTAATCAAAAAATAGAAATCAATGTTGGTTCAACAACAGAATTTTTCAATGTTGGGTTAAAATGTAGTCACAATCAAGTTGACAAACTCAAAATTCAGGGCACATTTTCCAGACACAGATCATAAGTAGTCCTGGATTAAAAAACGAATTTCAATAGAGATTATCTTTTGAAATAGTTGTTTTAATCCAGGTATGGGGTCAATCTGTATATGGGAAACCAGCCCCCAGTGGTTGTCTCAGTAAATACATTTCAGGCTGTAGCACATCTGGAAATTAAAACAAACAATTCATACATATCGAAGTCTCCTCAGAAAGGTCAAATTTAAGTTACATTTTTGCACACTGCATTTTTTTACCCTACACTGTGCATAATACAAATAAAATAAAAAATATGTGCAAGATCACTGGCAATATTACACAGTGCAGGGGTATTGACAAATGCTATAGGCATATTTCTTTTTTACAAAAATATTCAGTATTTGAAGTCAAGACATGTCCTTAGCATGACTTATACATTCAGTGTTAGTACTAAAAATACTTTATCAAGCAGGTTTAAAATCACCCTGCAAAATGTACATATGCTACAAGTATTTTTATACATGTCATTATTTACATGGCTCTTTTTCTTTAACTTATTTCAAGCTCGTGAGCTCCCTTTTGTCGTCTCTAAGATGGCCATTACAGTTCCCATTCTGCAAAGAAAATAATAAAAGACCACCTCCCCTCAAATTAGAACCTAGAGGGAGATAGTCAATTAACCACCCACTGATAAAAGGGCATCTCAGCCTGTAACTTATGAAAACAATTTTGATTGCAGTGCAAGAAGAGTAGGGTGCAGGAGGCAGTGAGTATCTGGAGATTGCTGCTGGAGACATTTTAAATGTAAACAGGTCCACTGGCCTTGCGCCTACCGTCCTCTGCCACGTGACGCACTTCTCAACTTTGCACTCCCTCGTAAGAAACTGGCACACAGCAAACAGGGCCATGACATAGGAGATAGGTTGTGAAACTATTACAGTCCCAGTTGAATGGCCCTCTTCCGCACTGTTTACCGTGTGGGGCTTCAGTAGGGAAGGATATAGTTTGAAAGTGGCTAATAACAGTACTGATTGCATTGAAAAAGTGACCCAGAGGACCAAATTCCCTGCGCCACTCAAGCCAACGTGGTTGATATGGCACTGATAACCACGTCAGAGAGGCAAGGGAGATATGGCAAAAAATCACAGCTAAATACATTGCTTTGGTTAAGACAAAACGGACTCAATGTTTCACAAATAGACAAAATAATGGTATGATAGAGCTGCAGGCCTTGGACCAGCACAACTCCCATAGTGCAGTGCGCACAGCGCAATAAAAAAGTACAGGAGTTGAACGTTCCAAGGCCTGTGTGCCATGGCCTCATATTACACTACAGTTTGAGGTTATACTTGTGACCTATACTCACTACTACAGCTGATTCCCTCATGAAAGATAGCTCTGGTTTCCCTGCAGCACATAGTGGCTTTTACATCCCCCAAAAACCAGAGGTAAAATAGTAAGTCAAACCAAAAAAATGCTACAATTGTAGGTTGTGCTTCAGGCACCACCAGGTTGTCAGAGGTGAACTCCTTAATGATTAACAGAACTTAACGTGCCAATGTAAGAATTACCTGTCCACAGAAATGGACTGTAAATGAGACTGCATTAAGTGTATACTAACAGTATCCAACCCTACCGTTTGGGAAGAAAAGCCCACAGACTTGCTATAATGGCCAACCAAAAAAAACAAAAAAAGAACAGAGCATGAATACGAAGGATATCCAGTTCATCGTTAGTGACAGAAACAGACTCCAATGAGAGCATTCTCCCCCACCGACAAGGCTGCAGCGCTGTAATATATGGTTTCCTAAATGTAAAAATAAAATAAAGGATGACTAACATTTGCAGCAGAGATCTCCCTGCAACATGCCTCCCACCCTTCGAAGACCTCCATCTAAAAATAGCTAAAAGTGTATTACAGCGCTGGGGCGTTCCAGGCAGGCAGGAGCCTTCAGAGGGGCATTCGTTCACACGTTGGCCTTGAAAGGTCAGGTTATGGGAGTCCATCTCTAGGCATGTACCTTGAGGAGGCTCTTCAGCTGGAAGGCCATCATCTCCCTGCTGTCACGGGTACCCATGGGGACCCAGTGGCTGGGGGGCTTGGGCAGCACACTGGGGGAGGGTGGCTCGCTGAACTTGGCCCCTGCATAGCTTGGGCCGCCACACTGGGCAGCTAGAAGTGTGTTCAGGTGGGACACAGCGCCCTCCCAATTCTGATCGTAGGCGTTGGCAAAACGGACAGAAGCGTTATTCTTCTCAGCCGACGCGGCCAGCCGCGCCTCTGGAAACCAGGGGTAGGCTAAGCCCTTGCGGTGGCCATGTTGGTGAGGACCTCCCGCCGCCCCTGAGGATGGTACTGTTGTCACTCCATTCTGATCGCGGACAACTCTCTGCTTGGCCCGGCCCAGTTGATGGTTCTTCTTGGGCAATGGGCGCTCTGGGTGGGACACTGGAATGTTGTACCTCTCTCCGCCTCCCATGCTGTACTTTTCACACTATGTGTCACCTGAAGGAGATAGACACATTTAGGTTAATAAACCGAAGAACATTGAAGCAATTCATTTCTAACATTGGAGTCATTTTGCAGACACTCTTATCCAGAACTGACAAGTGCCCTGCTCAAGGGCACATACCGATTTTTCACCTAGTCCGCTCAGGGATTCGAACCAGAGACCTTTGTTACTTGCCCAACGCTCTTAATGCTAGGCTAACGTCACCTGCCGCCCCTCAATTCAAATGACAAGTGTCCCCCGCTGACAAACCCGTTTTAACAGTATGGTTCTAAAAAACAAATAAAATGTATATGCTTGATTTATACTTAAGACGGGCAAAATATAAGTAACAGAACTGCTGGAACAAATGTGCATATCTGAATCTACGTCAAAGATATCAATTGGGCTACGTGCAAAAGCTCAGCCCTTCCCCCACCTGATAGCAAAAACAGTGTAGCAGCCATTGCCTACCTCTTTGTTGTTAGAAAGTTGAATGTGCAGAGACGTTTCCTTCTTAATTTCTCCTTTCCAATTGGGCTCCAGGTCCTCGAAGTAGTCTTCGGTCTACTTCTCGCTGCACTTTTAGGTCCAGCAAGATCTGGGGTTGTCATGTGCCAATGAGCGTCGTTTTCCCGTGAAGCCGAGTAGAACATCAATTCACCTCAGCGCACGAAAACGCTCCGAGAAGCCGATCTTTAACAAAAAAAGAAAATAATGGTTATACTCCAGGTACAAGAGCACAATACTGCTCGCGTAGAGTGTTCGATAACAAGCCAAGTATGTAAACTGTTGTTACAAACAGAGAATGGTGGCCAGCTTTCGTGTGACAAATATGCATCGTCACAAAGCCAGCTAATGTTAACCAGCGAGATAACTACATTCAGGCAGCAACTGTCTGGTAAAATTTATATAAACTGGTAGTAAAATAATGAATATTCGTTTACTGAAAAATAAAGCAAGTAAGTTAACTAGCGTCAATGTTAAGCTATGTAAAGCCACCGCGTAAACAACGAATAATCAATTTTTTCACAGGCGTCGAAGAATGCTAACGTCGTTAACTAGCTTGGTGGAACAAAACTCGGTCGATTAGCTGCAGAAAATGGTAAAATACGCCTAGGTCAACCGTAAATTGTGCTTGTTAACATTACTCTACTAAAGTTAATGTATTCAGGGTTCTTATTCTTATTGTAAGTAAATAGCAGTCTATCTAGGTCACTCCCTCTGGCAACAAAACAAAGAACACCACTCATATGGCGTCACAAATTCTAGCTAAATTAACTTAGCTAAAAACTCCGGCTCTTACCGACTTCCTCAGGCTTGGTTGGTAAAAAGCCCTTTGTCGGAGATTGTTGAATTGACGTCTGAAATCTCTGGATGGAGAATGTAGAAATTGCTATATCTACAAACGTGTGGACCTCATACGGTGTAAAAGATGAGTGTATACCTCTCGACTGTCTGATTTGCAACAAAATGGAAGCTCGAGCAGGTATATGTAGCTCCGATAGCTGAGCTCTGACCAATCACACAATAGCTCTGTGACCGAAGGACCAATCGGAGAGGCAATACACATACGCATTCATGTCTGTTGCCAGACTGTTGACGTCAAAAGACAAACCTCCCGCCCTAGGCTTCCTTTGTTGAGGGTATTTCCATGAAGAAGTGGTAAAAACAATAAGAAAACCACCCTTTAGATTGCTGCTTCGGCAAAAGCTAATGCTGGGTTTCCGAATGAACAATTTACAAAATATTTCATGATATGTAGACCTACATGACTGGATAGTTTGAGTAGCCTACACGAACCAGGTTTCCATCCAACCTTTTTGTGCGAGTATAGAGCTGTTAGCTAGAGTGCACGTGCCACGACCAGAGTGGGCACATTCGCTATATAACGCAAAATGTGTTGTGACAAAACCATCAGTAGAGTTGGAAATGCAATGGAAACCCATTTAAATAGTATTTAACGACAAAAGTTATTTTTATGTGCACTACGTCATCACGCACAGCCTTTTATCAAAAAGTAAATTTGATGGAAACACAATTTGTGGGAAATCCGCATATTGTTTATATTGGTATTTGAGAATATTCGCATGAAAATCTGTTGCCAATTGGATGGAAACCTAGTTTGTGAGAGAAAATCAGTCAGAGAGATCAATTCCTGCTGATATTATGATATGCTTTGCTACTCAATGGTTCAGTATTATGTAATCTCAGATGTCATCACAAAACCAACTCGGTAGCAGCCATGATTTGTGCAAGGTCTATTCCTCAATATAACAGCATTTCTTAATATATTTATAGTGGCTTGTATATATATATATCCGTAATAAAAATACAATAAAAAACAACAACATATATATAGATTTTTATTTTTTTATTACGGATATAATATGGCTGATCTCTTATTTGAAAAAAAGAAACAACATTTAACCGGATTTCCTGTAGTAGTGGGTGGGTGATTCATGTGAAAGGAAGAGCGCAGCTGCAACAGGCTTTCGCAATTTTCGGCAAATGACTATTAGCAGTTACTTGCTAACAAAGGGCCCAAGCATCACCATCCCCTCTCCCCTCCCAAATCCTCAGGTTTCACGCTGTGTGACAATACATAGATCAAAACCTGCAGGCAGAGTTGTTGAAATTGGGGTCAATCGTGAGAACAGCAGGAAGAGTGTCCATTCCTGACCCACCCATGAAACTATGACACCATCACCACGCACACATTGTTGTTTTGGCCATTCGTTTCCCTCTCTGGTCAAAGAGAGTCGCCAGTCTGAGCTTCTTGATTGCTGGCTTGGTTCCTTCTGCCTGCGGGGTAATTCGCTCCACAGGCGGTTGGGGGAGAAAGGGAAGGCTGTAGTTTGGACAGCTGTTACGTGTTAAAATCAACAACTCACACAGTTAGAGTGCAAGGTTAAAAGGGCCTCTACTCATAACCCAGGGCTGTAAATTGTGAAAAATACAGTTTCATCCTACTAGAGAGTATTTAGTTTATTGTATGTGTATTGCAGGCCTCTCCAGCCAGTGTCGTTATATGAATAAATTGTGTGCTGTAGTTATTTCTCACACATGTGCTCAAGATGGTAAAAAAATCCCTATAGCTTATTCCCTTTAATAATTTGGTGTGGTGTATTTAGGGTTCAGGATTATTGACCATAGATCATAAAGTGAAAGACCTTTTACTTGATTGCATTAAATAACTTTTCACTCTCTATAAACCCCATCCCTAACTGGGTCACTGTGGTGGCCCATATGTAAATATGATTTTTAATTGTTTTGGGGCACTATAGTCAGCCACTGTCAAGATGTAGGTCTGTTATTAACAGTATTTTCTCACTCAGTATCTATGTGGGTCATGTTGTCTCTGTTGTTTGATAAAATACTCAAATGACATGCCCCTAAACCTGACCTAATTTTACCATTGCAAATGTTACCTAATGTTAACTTGGCTGTGAACATAGAACAACAATAGTGCAAGTCCTAACATATTACACTAGAAACCACAAAGACCGGATTTATAAACCGTTTCCTGCTATCATACCACTAGGTGTCAATGTGCTGCATCCTCTCTGATTATGGGCTCTCCATTTGTACACAGTGTCTGGTTCGTTTGGAGTAATTGCATTTGCCATTGCCATGGAGCTCTCTCCAAGCCGTCTGACAGTGGCAGTTTATTTCAGGACACGTAAGGAGATCTGCCCTCATTTTACACAATTATAGGAGGATATCTTCTGTTTTCAGAGACGAGAGCAGCACCTCAGACCAGACCTCAAACAACAAACCTTTATGAGGACAATAAATAAGTCTCGCCTGTGTCTGATTTCAGCTTCCATGTTTTACATCAGAGCATGATTATAATATGTGGTAATAGTACAGTTATAACAGTATACACTGTGAGTCTGTGACTTATTATAGAACCTCTTGTTCTAGATTTTGAAGGCTGGGTTTAAGTGTTACATATTTATAGCAGGTCCAAGTCTATGGGACAAAACAATTGTATAATGGTTACAAGGGATGAATTCCAATAACTGTGCTCGCCTACGTATGACACTCATCTGTGTCTCTCACTGTAAAAGAGGGTTGTTGCAACATTTTTCCTGTCTATCAACCCATCTATCAACCTTGGTTTCTCAAATGACTGCCTCGCCTGGTTCACCAACTACTTCTCAGATAGAGTTCAATGTGTCAAATCGGAGGGCCTGTTGTCTGGACCTATGGCAGTCTCTATGGGGGTGCCACAGGGTTAAATTCTTGGGCCGACTCTTTTCTCTGTGTATATCAATGATGTCGCTCTTGCTGCTGGTGACTCTCAGATCCACCTCTACGCAGACGACACCATTTTGTATACATCTGGCCCTTCATTGGACACTGTGTTAACAAACCTCCAAACGAGCTTCAATGCCATACAACACTCCTTCAGTAGCCTCCAACTGCTCTTAAACACTAGTAAAACTAAATGCATGCTCTTCAATCGAACGCTGCTGGCACCCGCCCACCCGACTAGAATCACTACTCTCGACGGGTCTGACCTAGAGTATGTGGACAACTACAAATACCTAGGTGTCTGGTTAGACTGTAAACTCTCCTTCCAGACTCACATTAAGAATCTCCAATCCAAAGTTAAATCTAGAATCGGCTTCCTATTTCGCAACAAAGCCTCCTTCACTCATGCTGCCAAACATGCCCTCGTAAAACTGACTATCCTACCAATCCTTGACTTCGGCGATGTCATTTACAAAATAGCCTCCAACACTCTACTCAGCAAATTGGATGTAGTCTATCACAGTGCCATCCGTTTTGTCACCAAAGCCCCATATACTACCCACCACTGTGACCTGTATGCTCTTGTTGGCTGGTCCTCACTACATATTTGTCACCAAACCCACTGGCTCCAGGCCATCTATAAATCACTGCTAGGCAAATCCCAGCCTTATTTTAGCTCATTGGTCACCATAGCAACACCCACCCGTAGTATGCGCTCCAGCAGGTATATC